GAAAAAAAAAGAAAAAGAAAAGACAGGGAATGTTCAGAAGGAAGTTAGTCAAGATCTGTTGTTTGTGACTGAGTTCCTATTTCAATAATAGAGTATTGTAGCAGTTATCAATCTTTATGGTAAAAAGACCTGAGCAAGAGTAATCATGGTGGAGAATGGAAAAGAAGGGAAGAAAGTGAGACCCAGGGAAAAGTCCACTAGGTGGGTTCCGGCGATCCTTCTGCCTCCGCCTTCCAAGTAGCTGGAACTACAGGCGTGCGCTACCACGCCCGGCTCATTTTTGATTTATTGTAGAGAAGGGGTCTCGCCAAGTTGCCCAGACGTGTCTCAAACCCACAGGCTCAGGCAAACCATTCACCTTGGCCTCCCAAAGCACAGGGTTACAGGCTGAGCCACTGAGCCCGGCCTGGAAAGATCTTTTTGAAAGTCAGGTCTGAGCATGTCACCAACAGGATCTGGGAGGAAATCAAACAAGATGACTATAAAGTTCATATGGAAAAGTAAACAGGTAATACTTAGGAAATTTTGGGAAAACATGAGTAATGAGAGGGGAATAAACACCCTCAAATAACAAAATAGATTGCAGAAATCACAAGTGCTATTTTCACAATAGTGCATGAATAGGGAAATCAATAGAATAGAATGTAGAAACATAATTAAGACCGAAAATAGAGGAGAATTTAGCTTATAATGAAGGTGGCATTCTTAATCAATGGGGGAATATTTGATTTTGAAAAATTGGGTGTTGAGACAGCTGAAAAAAAAAGGTTGCTTCCTTAACTCATGTTGGAGTCTCACTCTGTCACCCAGGCTGGAGTGCAGTGACATGCTCAAGACCACCCCAGCATTGACCCATTGGGCTCGGTCGATCCTTCTGCCTCAGCCTTCCAAGTAGCTGGAACTACAGGCACGCACTACCATGCCTGGCTAATTTTTTTTTTTTTTTTTAATTGTGGAGATGAGATCTCACCAAGTTGCCCAGACTGTTCTTGAACCCGTGGGTTCTGGCAATCCCCTCACCTTGGCTCTCAAAGTGCTAGGATTACAGGCTTGAGTCACTGTGCCTGGCCATAATATTTTTTTAAAAAATGAAATCATAAAAATACAAAAAGAGAATTCAGGAGAATGTCTTTATAATCAGAGTAGCAAGTGTTTTACGAAAAATGCAAATGACAAACAGTAAACAGACAAGGAATACTATCCTTAATATATAAAATGCTCTTACAAGTTAATTTAAAAAAAGACCAATTTTCAATAGGAAGATGGACAAAGAACATGAACAGGGAGTTCACAGACAGAAATAATGAAATGGCTTGCTTTTTTTTTTTTTTTTTGAGTCTGATTCTTTCTCTGACACTCACGCTGGAGTGCAGTGGCAGTCATAGCTCACCACAGCCTCGACCTCCTGGGCTCAGACGATCCTTCCACCTCAGCCTGTCAAGTAGCTGGGACTTCAAGCCAGCACGCCCAGCTAATTTATATGCATATTTAAAATATATATTTTAAATATGTATATTAAAATGGTTTATCTCTTTTTGTAATAACATAAATGCAATTAAATAATATTAATTTCATCTATCAAGCCAGCAAATAAAAAATTCTGATACTACGTTGTGTGGGCAAAGGTTTCAAATCTGATATCGAATATATTGTTAGAAAGAAAGTAAATTGATATTACTCTTTAAAGGACAACTTAACAGTATCTATCAAAAATGAAAAACGCATTTACTGTTTGACCCAGCAATTCCATTTCTAGGAATTTTTCTGAAAATTATAAAAGACTTGTGTACAAAGATACCATGAGCGCATTCTAGAAACAGTTATTAATTCTGGCAGGAGAGGGTACACAAAAGACTTTCAGAGAGGAATCATCACCAGAAAAATAAAATGTCAGACCCTTCCTTAGCTAAGATAAAAGAATGATTAAAAAGATCTAACCCAGGCAAAAACTATTGTTTGCTGAGTTGTTGAGGAGAAAGAAATCTTCAAGGTTGTTTTCTGGTACTGACATTAATTTTTATATGAATACCCCTCCTAAGAATACCTGTATTTCGCCCTTTATGAGTAACTTGCCCATAATCCCACACTTGCACATTTTCTGATGAAGTATATATCACCCTGTCTCCCAGGACCAGCGCCATAATTTGCAGGGCCCACTGCATAATGAAAATGCAGGTTCCCTCGTCCAAAAAGTAAGAATATAAAGATGAGGTCATTGTATACAAAGTGCCCTGCATGACTGCACAGACTACAAGCTTGAGAGGTCATCTCTGCCTGTCTCCTGCTTACTGGATTCTATCCACACCTAACTACTTTTGCAGTTCTCTTAAATAAGCCAAGCTCTTACCCATCACTTTGCACAAGCTGTTACTTCTATCAGCATATTCTTTTACAGACTCTGTACCCTCCTCCCAAGAACTCCTACCCATCCTTCAAAACTCCCCTCAGTCTCACTTCTGTGAGGTATCCTTTGCCCCAATCCCCCTCCTTTCTCTTTGAAATGTTTCCTGCCTCCCACTTCCTTGGCTAACTGTGCCCATCTCCCCGAGGGCAGGAATTTTGTCTTCTGCAAGTCTGTGTCTCCAGCCAATGACTATCATGGTGCCATTACTGACAATTACCAGACACTTACTACACAGTAAGTACTGTGTTAGGACCACTGCATAAGTAGCTCAGTTAATCCTCCTATCAACACAAGGAAGGCACCAAAATTATTCTCACTCACCAAAGGAGACTCTTAGAGATAAAACACAGCCAGGGTCACATATCCTGGGCAGATGAGTTAATAAAAGTTGATTGAAATGAACAATATCATTTCTTTTCTTTTCTTTTCTTTTCTTTTCTTTTTTTTTCTTTTCTTTTCTTTTTTTTGGTGCTGGTGATCCTTTGGCCTCAGCCTTCCAAGTAGCCAGAACTACAGGTGCACGTTACCATGCCCAGCTAGTTTTTTGATTTATTGTAGAGACGAGGTCTCGCTAAAGTGCCCAGGCTGGTCTCGAACCCGCAGGCTCAGGCAATTCACTTGTCTCGGCCTCCCAAAGTGTTGGAATTACAGGCTGAGCCACTGAGTCCGGCCAACACCATTTATTTTCACCAGTGATCTAAGCCAAGACAGTAGATTATTGAACCTACATTTGAAATAGCATTGTAAAAAGAAACCCAAGGAAACAGATTCCTCTAATCAAGTAATCAACTGCCTTCTTTATTTAAAATAGTGCAAGAGTACATTTGCTTATTAATGAAGGTGTCTTTCTGCCGCCTCACACTCTAGTTTCCAATGATGGCGATGTCTCAAAGTCAACCCTTTGAGTTTCATTGCTTTGAGGTAAACATTTGTACTTTTTGAGCATTCTCTTTAAAAAGCAAACATTTAGGCCAGGCGAGGTGGCTCATGCCTATAATCCCAGCACTTTGGGAGGCCGAAGTGAGAGAGCTGCTTGAGCCCACAGGTTCAAGACCAGCCTGTGCAACTTGGTGGGACCTCATCTCTACAATAAATCAAAAAACTAGCCGGGCGTGATGAAGCATGCCTGTAGTTCCAGCTACTTGGAAGGCTGAGGCGGAAGGATCACCTGAGCCCAGCAGGTAGAGGCTGCAGTGACCAGGAGTGTGCCACTGCCCTCCAGCCTGGGTGACAGAGTGAGATTCCAACTCAAAAAAAAAAAAGAAAAAAGAAAAGCAAATGTTTTCCAAAGTTAAAGCATTAAGTTCCTAACATTATAGTAAATGTGAATTTACCACAGACTTTTATTGCAGCCTAAAATATACTGGAAAAATGCAGGGTAGAAAATGATTGCATAATCTGGTGAGAGGTGGTGGACTGTCTACATATTTTATAGTAGTGATTCACATCACGTTGTTACTGGCCACTTGCAGTTGGAGAGCTTGTTAAACATGTAACTTTGTGGCCCTGAATCAGAATCTCTGGGCCCCTAAAATTTGCATTTGAACAAGAGCCTTGGTGATTCTGTGGCACAGCAAAGTTCAAAATGAACGGCTTTAAAGGTCAATTATACTTCAAATAAAATGAGATGAAAATGTCCCGTGGTCTATGTTTTGTTTTTATCACTACTTTTATATTGATATAAAAAATTATAGGGGAAAAAAAATCCCACAACATTGCATGGTCAGGGTGGAGGAAATATTGAAATGGAGAGGAAAATGGAATTGAAAGATAAAACCTGGGAAATGGCACTTCAAAAGTCCAGTCTCTCCTGAGGCCGGTGCTGTGCTTGTGAAGGCTTCTCAGAATTCCTACGATTGATTTTACATTCCACCTTGATCAGTGCCATTTGGTAAGTTAGTCTTCCGAGAATGAATGTGTGTATACTGCCTGTGAGTAGACTACAGCTACGATCCATCCATTCATTCAGACAAGGACTATAATTTGAGTCAGAGCCAGCCAAGCACTGTGAGGTCTGACAGTTAGATTCACGAACTCATCCTAGAAGTTCCATACCTTGTTGCTGAGTATCACAATGGTCACCTTCGAAGTACTCCCTTTGGGAAGCTGTGCACCAACATCCGCACCTAGTCCACCCGCCAAAGCCATTTTGGAACTCTTTTTCTGGAATGGCCATTGGCGCCGTCTTCGTATTACCCTTGACATCCTGAATGTCCTCACATGTCTTCCTTTCAACATTTCCTTTATCTTCGGTAAAGGAAAAAGTCACTGGAGACCAGATCAGGTGAGGAGGGAGGATGTTCCAATATAGTTATTTGTACAGTGCTGCCAATGTAAGCAAGCGCACAGTGGCAAGTTCATGAACTTAACTGGTAGACCTCAATACACAACAAGAGTCATCATAGTGATATTCAGCAATGAGGTATGCAGCACTTTTTCTGGGATGGTTCATGAACCTGATTGTCAGACCTTGTATACGAATGACAAACACATCACATGAGGCTTACAGACTGGTTGGAGGGAGAGGTAACAAGAAAATTAAGAAGTTGATATTTGTTTTCAAAACTTCAGTGGAGTAAAGGAACAGGTTACTATGTCAATGATAAAAACGGAAAGCTATTTTGTTATTGTATTTCAGCTTTACCAAATGGAGAAAAGTTACAATGGGGAAATCTGTACCACTTACAGGACCTGGAATTTGATTTTGCAGCAAAGGAGCTAGCCAAACAATGCGTAGGAAAACACTGTGGCATAAGTAATGACTTCATCAGCAACATAAATGATTCTCTAACCATAGGGAATTAATCTACTTTCATGGTATGGTTTTCAGATTGTAGCCGAATTATTTCCACTCCCCGCCCCCACCAGGTCTTTGAGTTCATCTGAATCTTTGAATCTGTAAGATGGGTAAAACGAGGAAGTTAGATGAGGTAATCGTGAAGCACCCTCAAAGTTATTCTTGTTCTTCTAGAACAGAGGTTTCCACCACTTTCTTTAGACTAGAAGTGAAAATGGAGTGAAAAAAAAAATCCAAGCTTTGGATAAGGCTAGACAGATGTATCTAGACAAGGGTTATCCATGTAAGTAAAGTACCTAAGAAAGGCATGGTATTATCCTAACCTGAGTAGAAATCACAGAGAAATGAAAAGATGGGCCTCAAGCCCGCCAAGATTTGACAAATACAGTCGAGAAAATTGTACACACCCATGCGATATAGTTAAGTAGTCAGATGAAGAAACCAGAGTGTAGTTGGTCTAGGCTGCCTTAATCTCCTCCCCTTGGCTACAGTGGATTTCCAGGAGGAGGTGAGCTCAGTCTTGCATGGTTATCCTCTTGCTGACAGCAAGGTCTGCGGCTCATATCGCTTGCATGCCGAAATGAGCAAGCACAGACATGGTAGAAGGAGAGTAACCTTATTCCAAAAGCCAGCAGATGGGGAAATGGCCAGGTTTATGTCTCAAAAAAACATTTCACAATTTTAGGCTGAAGACAGGGGATTTTAAAGGAAAAGAATGGAACAAGAAGTATCTGGCAGGAACACAGGGAACTGATCTTGCTCTGAGGATTCCCTTGAATTGTTGTCTGTCTGGAGAGAGCTGGCCGAAGCCTTCCCCCAGGTTGTAGATGAATCACCCTAAGGTGACCTTGAAACAGTGGAGAATTCTGCTGCGGGGAATCCATCCTCTTTTATTCCACTGTCGGCCATTAGAACAGCCTCTGAATTTGCTCAAGCAAGTACACAATTACGTCAGAAGTAAAAAGAAGTCTTTGAAGGGTAGACTAAGAGAGAAAAAGGCTTAGAACTGTTTCTCAAAAGCTGAAATGGAAATTCTCGGTTCCATTCCCACCCACTATTCTCTGAAAAGCTCCCGTCACTACCATGGATCTTAATAACATGGGGAACTCAAAGTGTCAAAACAAATGAGTGATAGATTAGTTCAAATAAGGGAGGAGCCTGGCATATTGGCTCACACCTGTAATCCCAGTGTGAAAGGGAAAAGAAGCAGTCTCTGCTCCTGGGATTGTAAAGGGGGGGGATGAAAGAAATGGCTTCAGCCTTGAAACAGGTGTTACTCCCTTCCTGGAGGTTTTCCTTTGAAGGTTTTTCCTCTGTAAACATTGCAAGATACATTGTATCTTTACCCACTACACCTGTCTAATTAGCACATCTGCTTCTGTAAACTCGCTAGCTTGCTGATGTCAGCAGAATATTGTGGTAAGAGCTCTGGAAAATGTCCAACTCTAACTTTAGCTAACCAAGATGTAAGCTAGGACTACTTAAGGGAGCTCTGAGTGGGGGCTCGGGGCCGTCTTGCTTGGAATTTTCTTCCTGCAAACGGTCGCCAGCTGGCAGAGCCTTTATTAATAAACTTCTCCTTTGTTAAAATTAAGTCGGTGGGTTGTTATTTAATCGCTCGGACCCTACTTCATATCGGGGCTCGTCCAGGAGAACCGAGAGCTTAAATTGCACCCATTTTAACTGACGGGCCTTGTGGGGCTGTGTCCCCGCAAACTCTCTGGGTTTGATTGGGCCTGTATCTCTGGCAGACTCACAATGCCCCTGGAAGCCCTCAGAGAGGCAAGTCAGGCTCCTGATTTCTGTTTTGAGTGCACTCCTGTAGGGACCCTCGGGAAAGCTGGATGCAGCGCTAATTCTGGGGTCCGATGTCCTAGTGAGACGTCACTGGGATCTCCTGTTTCGCCCTCGGGCAGCCAGATCTCTCTGTTCAGTTTTTGCTGTCTTGTTTGTGTGTTCAGTGTTTGTTACTGTCGTGTCTGTTATTGTAATTAATATCATGGGTGGGACAGGAGCCCCGCTTTTATGCCCACATGGGATAATTGCCAACAGCTACTCCAAGCTCTCTTCACCGCAGGAGAGAGGGAGAGAATCCACCAGGAAGCAAGGAAGTTAATCCTGGGAGCTGGCAGCTGGCCAGCAGAACATGCAGGATTGAAGTGCGTCTTTCCCCCTGCCAGACCAAACTGGGACCCTAATACTAATCACGGTAGGGAGTGTCTCACCGCTTATCGCTGGACTCTGTTGGGGGTCTCCGGGGTGCTGCAAGGTGCCCCACAAATTTATCTAAGATGAGTGAAGTCACTCAAGGGCCACAGAAATCTCCCACCACTTTTCTGGAGCATCTCATGAAGGCCTATCGGACATACACCCCAATAGACTCAAAGGCACCAGAAAACCGGAGGGCGTTAGTCATAGCCTACATCTCCCAGTCCCTAATATATATATATATAAAGAAAAAAAAGGGGAGCTGGTTAAGTTGTTATACTTCATTTAATGGGACATGTTGTCTTTTAAAAACTTAATTGGCGTATGTTTCTTTATGTCATTGTATGTTTCCCTCCCTTCCTTAGCCTGTGTTCTTCACTAATTCTGAAGGCGTCATTCTAATCCACCTGTAAAGAAACATAGAAATATCTCTTATATGCTACTTAGCCTTTTGCTAGCTCAGTGCAAGTTAATGCTAGCCTTGAAAAAAAATTTTTTTGTAATCTTTTTCTGGCAACTAAGGAACTGAATAAACTGTTCTTGTATTCAAATGCTAAGCCAGGTTAGTTGAAAGTAAGTCTGTTTCTAAAGGTTTAGGCCTTGCCTAAGATTGTAATCAACTGCTTGTCCCTGTAAAACTGTTGGGAAGTCTCTTAGAGTCGTGTAATGTATGCTGAGTCCCTACTTTATATTGTAGTGCTAAATAGCACTAATGCTTGCGTTTTTGGCTATGCCTGGCTAGCACACCTCTTACAAGACTGGTAAAGCTTTAAAGGCTAAATACTTTGCAGAACTTAATGAAGCATGGGAACTGGCCATTCCCACCTGATTAAGTCACCTTGTAAGCTTGATACTTCACCTAAGGGACAGGTCAAGTACTAGGCACACTCTGTGGCGCATAGAGTGAGACTTAATCACTCATTTAATTGTCCATGTCTTATGACTAAGGCTGCTGTTTAGTAATTCATGAGGATTTTTGACAATTTTGCCTATTCATAATTAGGAATAAGTAGGAACAGATCATATTACATCTACGTGGCTTGTTCATTCTAAAAAGGTTTTGTACCAGGCCGTTTTTGTATACATCATTGGGAAGTCGTGGAGCAAAAAAAAAAGGGGGGGGGGGGCTTCAAGAAAAGCTGAGAACACTCAATCTGGGAGAAGCCATCAGGGTTCCAGGAATTCCTGGCATTGCTGTTTACGACTTTATTTAGTTATTTGTTTGTCTTAGAATTCTCCATTGAGAAATAAATTCTAAGTGTTCAGAGCAAATTCTGGGTTTTCAAGAAACATGACCAAGGGAGTGTGTAGTGGTCTGTGCCCTTGGACACCCCGATGGGACAGATTTTGAATGATTGGAGCAAATTAAACTTACATGGTATAATAATAATAATAAATGCATTATTAAAAAATCAAATTTGAACTCACTACAAGTTAGCAGATAATAAAATTTGGAAAAGAACGAAACTATCTGGCAATTAAATTCACTTTGTAGACCTAAGGAAAAATAAAATGGTCAAAAGTTCTGTATGCAGAGGCATTTAAAAAATTTATTTTACTACTTTGCAAACAAGATTATATCCTATAGAATATTAAATGCCAAACTCCAGAAGCTTAACTCAGGACTAGGAATGCCAAACTCCCAATTACAGAAAGCCTCTGAAGTTCTTAGAAACTGAAACTTTAAAAAAAAAAAACAAAAAACAAGGAAAAGAACTCCAAAATGAGCACCAGCCAGAGGAAAGGTAAACAAATTGGCAGTTGCCACTAAAAGCAAAGCTCCAGTCACCCAAAAGAGGCCTAATAAGGATAAACCTGCTAAGGGCAATGGTATCAGCTGCTATGAATGTGGTCAATCTGGGCACCTAAAGCATAATTGTTCCTAATGGCCTAAGCCCCCAGAACCTTGTCCAATATCCGGACTAAAAAGCCACTGAAAGAAATGGTGCGGCCTCTCCAAGTGGGGGGGGAAACACCTAGCTTGGTGATGGTGGTTGTTGACTGAAGGGGAGGGGCACGGCCCAGCGCAGCACTCTGTATGCCATCCACCCAGAGAATCCTTGGGTCTATATAAATGTGACTGGGGTCCAAATTAATTTCTTAATTAATACTGAGGCTAAGTTTCTAGCTCTTGTGCTCATACTGAGCTTCTTTCTCCTAAAACCTGCTCTCTAGTGGGAGTTAAAGGTGTTCCAAAAACTAAATGTTTCACCTAACAGTTACTAAAAGGTGAATTCAAGTT